TGTATTATTTGAGGGAGAAATTTTTGCTGCTGACATTAATATTTGTGGCTGTGATGAGATGATTGTTGAGAGGAAGTGAGTGTGAATATCGATATTGTTTTGTGCGTTGAAGATGCTGAGGTGAAGGTGAACACTCATGTGTTGATGATGCTGAGGTGAAGGTGAACACTTATGTGTTGATGCTGAGGTGAAGGTGAACACTCATGTGTTGAAGATGCTGAGGTGAAGGTGAACACTCATGTGTTGATGATGCTGAAGTGAAGGTGAACACTCATGTGTTGAAGATGCTGAGGTGAAGGTGAACACTCATGTGTTGAAGATGCTGAGGTGAAGGTGAACACTCATGTGTTGATGATGCTGAGGTGAAGGTGAACACTCATGTGTTGAAGATGCTGAGGTGAAGGTGAACACTCATGTGTTGAAGATGCTGAGGTGAAGGTGAACACTCATGTGTTGATGATGCTGAGGTGAAGGTGAACACTCATGTGTTGAAGATGCTGAAGTGAAGGTGAACACTCATGTGTTGAAGATGCTGAGGTGAAGGTGAACATATGTTGAAGGTGTTCAGGTGAAGGTGAACATGTGTTGAAGGTGTTCAAATGAAGGTGTTCAGGTGAAGGTGAACATATGTTGAAGGTGTTCAGGTGAAGGTGAACATGTGTTGAAGGTGTTCAGGTGAAGGTGAACATGTGTTGAAGGTGTTCAGGTGAAGGTGAACATGTGTTGAAGGTGTTCAGGTGAAGGTGAACATATGTTGAAGGTGTTCAAATGAAGGTGCTCGGGTGAAGGTGAACATATGTTGAAGGTGTTCAGGTGAAGGTGAGCATTCACTGATATAATTCATCAATTAATAATAGTCACCTCAAGTATTATATCCCTTTAATGTACTTGTTTATCCTTGTTGTTTTTAGTGGATCTTTTCTCTCTATTCCATTTCTCTTTTCCTCTCCTTTCCTTTCTTCTCATCTTATGTTCTCTTTGTCCCCTTCATCGCCTTCTTCCTCAATTCTCTGTTGGTAAAACTTCAGTCAGAATTAAGATTTCTCAACTACAAAGTAACTGTGTTACCTGGAGTCTACTTGGAGGGTGTTCGGGGGATCAACGCTCCCGTGGCCCGGTGGATCAGGGCCTGATCAACCAGGCTATTACTGTGGCTGCACATAGTCCAACGTACGAACCACAGCCCGGCTGATCCGGCACCGACTTTAATTGTCTGTCCATTCCTATTGATAATTCCCCTTATACATGGTGGGAGGCTGTTGAACAGTCTTGGGCCCCGGACACTTATGGTGTTTCCTCTTAGTGTACCAATAGCGCCCCTACTTTTCATTGGGGGTATTTTGCACCGCCTGCCCAGTCTTTTGTTTTCGTAAGGAGTGATTTCTGTGTGCAGATTTTCGACCATTCCTTCTAGGATTTTCCAAGTGTAGATTATGATATATCTCTCTCGCCTGCTGTGACATGCAAAGAATATGTTACAATTTACTCAGCGTATGTGCACACTCCCATATAGGCTGCCTCCCAACCAGCGAACCAGGTGCTAAGGGTTTAACGATACGGGTACCCATCGTTAAATCAATACCTTGGTTCATTAACCAATCACAAGCGGGCCTGCCAAGTGCTGAGGCGACGTGGTATCACTCGTGGTCAGCATTTACCAGTCTCGTATAGCAGCTGGTTGAGTACGGTCCTTTCTCTCCCTGGCTTCTGCTTTGATAGGCTTTGTCACCATAGTACACGTCTATTCAACTCCTGTACATAGTGTACATAGGTGTACATAGCTATATATATAATTGGTGAAGGAAATACAAGTTAAATAGTATTGATGAGTTCGTTTTGCTCCAGCCCACTACGACCAGGCCACAGGCCATTCTTCACCTGTGTTCGTAATACGTACGTTCCAGTGAGTACAAGTCAAGTGCTTTCAAGCGCTCCCAGTAGTTGAAGTGTTTGATGGAACTTATATGTGCAGTAAAGGTTCTCTGTACATTCTCTAGGTCGGCAATTTCACCTGCTTTGAGCGGAGATGTTAATGTAAAGCAATATTCCCGCCTAGAGAGAACAAGTGATTTGAAAAGGATCATCATTGGCTTGGCATCTCTGGTTTTGAATGTTCTCATTATCCATCTTATCATTTTCTTTGCAGTTGTGATCGTGGCACTGTTGTGATCCTTGAAAGTGAGATCCTCAAACATTACCACTCCCAGATCCCTTATAGTATGCTCGGTTCTAGTTATTATCTCCTCCAGTTTTCCATAACGGAGTAGTTGGAATTTGTCTTCAGTGAGCATCATTTGTTTTCCGTTGTCCATGGGAAAACTTGTTAGAAAGTAAATATTTCTGTGTCTCTCTCCTTCCCTCTCTCCTCTTTTTTTTACACGGGGTTTTTACAAGGTTAGGTTAAGGGTTCATAACTTTATTTACAAGCTAAAAGCTGTTACCTACATCAGCTCTCTCTCTCTGTCTGTCTATCTGTCTGTCTGTCTGTCTCTCTCTCTCCCCTCTCTTTTCCCCTCCTCTCCTCCCCCTCTCTCTCTCTCTCTCTCTCTTCATTAGTTTCATTAAGACACTTTTATATAAGTTTTCGTTTAATTAGTTTATTTTTTAGAAAATTCTGGATTTTATTTCCAGTATTTCTCCATCTCTTGTACTGGGCAGGCAGAGGGAGAGAGAGAGAGAGAGATGAAAGGGAGAGGGTTAACGAAAGGGGCGAGGAGGTTAATGGGAGCATGAGGGAGTTTGAAAGGAAAGGAGAGAGCGTTTTAGGGTGAGGGAGACGAGGGTGAGGGGGGAGGAGCTGTTTAGGGAGATGAGGGGTGAGGGAGATGAGGGGTGAGGGAGATGAGGGGTGAGGGGGAGGAGGGGGAGGGAGATGGGTGAGGGAGATGAAGGGTGAGGTAGATGAGGGGTGAGGGAGATGAGGAATGAGGGGCGAGGTAGATGAGGGGTGAGGCAGACGAGGGGTGAGGGATGAGGGAGATGAGGGGTGAGGGAGATGAGGGATGAGGGAGATGAGGGATGAGGTAGGGATGAGGGAGGGTTCAAAATAACTCCCATGATATTTTCCAGGCTGAGTCTGAACGTATAAAAAGTAACGTAGTATTGTTTCTACTTGCCGGAGTAACTACCTCACAGTAACACTGTTGTTTCTACTTGCCAGGGGAACTACCTCACACTAACACTGTTGTTTCTACTTGCCAGGGGAACTACCTCACAGTAACACTGTTGTTTCTACTTGCCAGAGTAACTACCTCACAGTAACACTGTTGTTTCTACTTGCCAGGGGAACTACCTCACTGTAACACTGTTGTTTCTACTTGCCAGGGGAACTACCTCACAGTAACACTGTTGTTTCTACTTGCCAGGGGAACTACCTCACAGTAACACTGTTGTTTCTACTGCCAGAGTAACTACCTCACAGTAACACTGTTGTTTCTACTTGCCAGGGGAACTACCTCACAGTAACACTGTTGTTTCTACTTGCCAGAGTAACTACCTCACAGTAACACTGTTGTTTCTACTTGCCAGGGGAACTACCTCACAGTAACACTGTTGTTTCTACTTGCCAGGGGAACTACCTCACAGTAACACTGTTGTTTCTAACTTGCCAGAGTAAAATACCTCACAGTAAACACTGTTTTTTCTACTTGCCAGGGGAACTACCTCACTGTAACACTGTTTTTTTCTACTTGCCCGGGGAACTACCTCACAGTAACACTTGTTTCTACTTGCCAGGGGAACTACCTCACTGTAACACTGTTGTTTCTACTTGCCAGGGGAACTACCTCACTGTAACACTGTTGTTTCTACTTGCCAGGGGAACTACCTCACTGTAACACTGTTGTTTCTACTTGCCAGGGGAACTACCTCACTGTAACACTGTTGTTTCTACTTGCCAGAGTAACTACCTCACAGTAACACTTGTTTCTACTTGCCAGGGGAACTACCTCACTGTAACACTGTTGTTTCTACTTGCCAGGGGAACTACCTCACTGTAACACTGTTGTTTCTACTTGCCAGGGGAACTACCTCACTGTAACACTGTTGTTTCTACTTGCCAGGGGAACTACCTCACAGTAACACTGTTGTTTCTACTTGCCAGGGGAACTACCTCACAGTAACACTGTTGTTTCTACTTGCCAGAGTAACTACCTCACTGTAACACTGTTGTTTCTACTTGCCAGAGTAACTACCTCACTGTAACACTGTTGTTTCTACTTGCCAGGGAACTACCTCACAGTAACACTGTTTTTTTCTACTTGCCAGGGGGAAATACCTCACAGTAACACTGTTGTTTCTACTTGCCAAGTAACTACCCCACTGTAACAACTGTTTTTTTCTACTTGCCAGGGGAACTACCTCACAGTAACACTGTTGTTTCTACTTGCCAGAGTAACTACCTCACTGAACACTGTGTTTTTTACTTGCCAGAGAAATACCTCACAGTAACACTGTTGTTTCTACTTGCCAGGGGAACTACCTCACAGTAACACTGTTGTTTCTACTTGCCAGAGTAACTACCTCACAGTAACACTGTTGTTTCTACTTGCCAGAGTAACTACCTCACAGTAACACTGTTGTTTCTACTTGCCAGGGGAACTACCTCACTGTAACACTGTTGTTTCTATTTGCCAGGGGAACTACCTCACTGTAACATTGTTGTTTCTACTTGCCAGGGGAACTACCTCACAGTAACATTGTTGTTTCTTCTTGCCAGGGGAACTACCTCACTGTAACACTGTTGTTTCTACTTGCCAGGGGAACTACCTCACAGTAACACTGTTGTTTCTACTTGCCAGAGTAACTACCTCACAGTAACACGTTTCTACTTGCCAGAGTAACTACATCACAGTAACACTTACGTTTCTACTTGCCAGAGTAACTACATCACAGTAACACTGTTGTTTCTACTTGCCAGAGTAACTACATCACAGTAACACTGTTGTTTCTACTTGCCAGAGTAACTACATCACAGTAACACTTATGTTTCTACTTGGCAGGGGAACTACCTCAAAGTGTGTAAGAACCTACACAGCGAGCAGCTCTCCAAACTACTGGCCAAGAACCAGCAGGAATGTGACCTTCTTGAAGACATCAG